GTTAAGATTTTCTTCTAGAATGAGAAAAATCTATCCCATTTAGACCCAAGAACTCTTGAATGTGAAAATGAGGTGCATCGTATAATCCATTTACAAGTTATTGCCAATGGACTTAATAACACAATTAATGATGTTGCTTAGGTTACAAAGTCTCATATTCTAGCTACATATGTTCTAGTTAGGATTGTTGTTATTGAAGAACAAGTTGAAATGGATTAAAATGGCTCACGCTTGAAGCATGGCAGACTGATAAGATCAAAAGATACTATCTCTCGAAATAAAAGGGAAGGAATCAGGAATTCACTCTAGAAAAGCCTAGTATTGAGCTTGCTTTGGGAAAACCTATTACCTCTAAAGAGGCACGAACCCATGAAAAGACCACTGACCCTAGGAATACTAAAATTTCCAATACATATTGTAATGAGATTTGGGATTGAAATGAGATAATCATTGATGATGTTTTGCACTCTTAATTGCTCATGAGATTATAAACAATGATTATGAACCACGATTTATTATTAAATGTCGTCAAAGGCAAGATTGGCCCAGGTGGGAGGAAGCAATTCAAGCTGAATTAGCTTCTTTAGCTAAACAAGAGGTTTTTGGGCTTTTAGTTCAAACCTTTTGGATACAAGCAAGCCTTTGTTCGGAAACAAAATGAGAAAAATAAGATCATGAGGTATAAAGCTTGACTTGTTGCCAAAGGTTGCTCTCAAAGACTTGGGATTGATTATAATGAGACATGTTCACCTGTAATGAATATGATTACCTTTCATTTCCTTATTAGCCTAGTAGTTTCTTAAAAACTGAAAATGAGTCTTATGGATATTGTGATAACATATCTATATGGTTCATTAGACTCTAATATTTATATAAAAATTCCCGAGGGATTCAAAATACTTGAAGTATATACTTCTTGCAACTTATTCTCAACATAGTTGTAAAGATCTTTGTATGAGTTAAAGCAATCCAACCACATGTTGTATTAACACTTAAGTGAGTACCTAATTAAGGAAGTTACAAAAATGATCCTATCTACACATGCATGTTTATTAAGAAATTGAAAATTGGATTTACTATGATAGTAGTTTATGTTGATGATATGAATTTGATTGGAACTTCGGAAGAGTTATCTAAAACTATAGAATATTTGAAAAAGGAGTTTGAAGTTAAAGATTTAGGTAAAACCAAAATTTATCTTCGTTTAGAGCTTGAGCACAAAACAAACGGAATACTTTTCCATTAGTTAGCATATATTGAGAGATTGCTTAAACATTTTAACATGGAGAAGGCTCACCCATTGAGCACCCCTATGGTTGTAAGGTCTTTTAATCCCCAAAAAGACCCATTTTGTCTTAGAGAACTTGATAAGGAGATACTTGGTTCTGAAGTACCATATCTCAATACAATTGGGGCTTTAATGTTATTGGCACAATTTGTGAGATCGGATATCGCTATCATGGTAAATTTGTTGGCATGTTTTAGTTTTGAATCAACCCAGAGACACTGAAATGGGATAAAACATATCATCCTTTATCTCCGAAGAACCATAGATTTGGGATTATATTATTCTAAGGATTCCACTAACCTTGGTTTAGTTGGATATGCTGATGCAGGATATAAATATGATTCTCACAAGGCTTGCTCTCAAACCAATTAATTATTTTGCTATAATGGCACCTCCATTTCTTGATGCTCTACTAAGCAAGCGCTAGTAGCTACATTTTTCAACCACTTTGAGATTATCACTCTATATGAAGCTGGAAAAGAGTGTATTTGGTTGAGATATGTTATAACGCATATTCATAATTCTTGTTTTTTGACACGGATTACAAATTCTTCCACTATAATTTGTAGATAATATTGCTTGCATTGTACTAGTCAAGGGAGAATATATTAAAGGTGATAGGACCTAGCATATCTTGTCAAAATTTTTCTATACTCAAACTCTAGGAAAGTTGACAAGTTGACGTTAAACAGATTCACTCTAACAACAATCTTGTAGATTTTTTTACCAAATCATTGCCAACATCAACATTTGAGAAATTAGTATATCGCATTGGAATGCAGAAAGTTAACAAGACGCAAGATTAATTTGCCATTGAAGTGGCAATATGGCTTAATTAAGGGGGAGCAATTATGGACCATGCACTGTACTCTTTTTTCTGTTTGAACTGTTTTTGTCCCATTAGGTTTTCTAGCTTAACGTTTTTAATGAGGCAGTACAATGGACATTCAAGGGATAGACCCCACAGCGGCAACATGGCGCAATTGAGGGGGAGCAATTATGGACCATGCACTGTACTCTTTTTCAAGCTTAAGGTTTTTAATAAAATAGTACAATAGACATTTAAGGGGAAGTACTATGAATATATGTGAATATCTACTGTATTTTATAATACCTAATGTATCTCCCATGCCCAGTGTATATATTTATATTGGTACATTCCTATTTTCTGATTTCATTCAATGTATGTACATTACATTCCTGTCTACTAACTTTATCCTTTTTATTAATGTAAATTTATTTTCCCTGCATCCATGGGTGCCTATAAATAGAAGCATTATGGTTGATGGCTAATATATTAAAACAAGAAATGAAATAGAAGATTTTCTTACATTTTTACTACTTTTCTCTAATCTGTTCTCTAATATTCTCTTCAAAGTTACATTTCACAACAAAATTTGATATTAATTTTTTATAAAAATAATTTTATTAATTACTTAATAGAATCCTTCTTATTTAGAATGATTTATGAAAAAACATATTATTTTTAGTAATTAAAGTAAACCAAAATAATAAGGTTGCACGTGTGTCACATAAAAAATACTCGTAATTAATAATATATAGTCAAAATACCCTCAAGTTCCCGTGTCTATACATTTTATTCAATTCAGTCCTTGTATTTAAAATCAAAGAAATTTAGTCCTTTGATTTTGAGAATTGTTTCAATTTAGTCCTTTTCTCACATGGTATCTAATTTTGCTTTTAAAAGTGATGATATTAGCGTTGATGTGGCATATTTTAATGACATGGCACCAACATGATGACGTGGCATGCTATGTGGTACCGACATGATGACGTGGTAGTGCCATATGCACTAATATGATGACGTGGTAATGCTGATGTGGCATTGACAAGCTAACATATCAATGCCATATGGTAGATCAAAAAATTTTTAAAAATTTTTTTTATGTCACATCATAGTGGCTAAATTGAATGAAAATATATAGTACATAAACTTAATTGAATAAAATTCAGATGTTGAGAGACTAAATTGAAGAAAATATTTGAAAAATATACATCTTTGAGTAGATGATAGATGTACTTATTAATAAGCCAAATATTTAAGTGCAAAAAATTTATGATGTTAAAATATATATATTTTCTTATTTGATTATTTGATAGTAGAATATGTACATTAATTTACCTTATGTGCAAAAATTAAGTTTGGATTCTTCTTCTATAAAAAAAATTTCAGAAAAAATATCATATCTAAAGTCAAATTTATATGAATAACTGGCATTATATTGAAATAAAATAATATAAAAAGACTAAATAAAATTTTTTGTTTTATTTATAATAGTATAAATATTTAAAGTTTATTTGGCTTGATTTTTAACTTGAGTTAAACTCAAATTAACAAAATAAGTTCATTTAGTTTTTTCTTTTGAAAAAATGAAAAAATAATTTTTCGTTCTAATTTGCATAATTTGAGCATAACAAACCTTTTATTACAACCACAGAATATGAGCTGCTCCTTCCCTTTATTTTTTTATATTTTTTTTATGTTTCTATTTTGTTTAATACTTCAAGTTATATTTTGATGTTGAAATTTTTTAGACTAAAAGTTTAGCTAAATTTATGGTTGATAGAGTTAAATATAATTATAAATTTTTATTCCATTTTATTTTATATTTATAATTTTTTTGTAGATCCAAATTGATAATTTAAATTTAAGTTTAGTAGAAATTGATTGTAGTATTTGAACTTAAATAAAATTGTTTTATAAGAAATTTTGAATAAATTTAAATAAAAGGTAAATTGGGTAAGGGTTGAATAATTCCAAAAAAATGGACATTTGTAAATTGTGAAAGTTGCAACTAAATCAACCTATTTTGTTGATTTGAATTCAGCTTGAGTTAAAAATTAAGTCAAATAAATTTTAAATTTTTATACTATTATAAATAGAAGAAAAAAATTTTATTTAATCCTTTTATGTTATTTTATTCTAATATAATGCAAGTTGTTCATCTAATTTGACTTTAGGTATGAAATTTTTTTGAAATTTTTTTATAGAAGGAGAACTTAAAGTTAATTTTTGCAAAAAAATAAATTAATGTATATATTTTATAATCAAATAATATACTAAGAAAATATTTATATATATTTTTTAACACCATAAATTTTTTACACTTAAATATTTGAGTTATTAATAAGTATATCTATTATCTACTTAAAAATTTATATTTTTATTTTTTTCTATTTTGTCCTTTAATATCTCAATTTTATTCAATTTAGTTCTTGTGTTATATTTTTGTTCAATTTCATTCTTATGATGTAATACAAATCCTTTTTTGAAAAAATTTTTGTTTTGCCTCGTGGCACAGACAAGTCAGTATGTCAGTGTAGCATTAGTATTACTATGTCATCATGTGAGTACCACATCATCAAAATATGCCACACTAGTTTTGAAATAAACATTGACGTCATCTCTTTTTAACCGTAAAATTAAATACAGTTAGAAAGTGAGACTAAATTAAAATAATTTTAAAATCAATAAATTAAATTATTTTGATTTTAAATATAAAAACTAAATTGAATAAAATGCATTAATACAAAAACTTGATCAATATTTTAACCAAAAATAAATTGTTCTCTCATTCTTATCCCTATCTCAATGCATCGTGATTTCCACGGCACCCAGTTTTCAAATATTTAATACAAATAAATAGTTTCGCTTGCCTACCAAAAACGCCCCACAAATCCTTGACTCTTATCCAAAACTTTAGATTTTGTTGCGGTATTCCCAATTTGCAACAGGGTATTAATCCTTGACAGCATTTGCCATGCATGGTTAACAAGACTAAACACATGCCACCTTTGCCAGCGAAGCAAAGATTCTGGGGAGCTGGTCTTTCTTTTTTACGGAATGTGGAGGCTTAAGATTGGAAAGGAGAGTGTAGGTGATAATGGGGCATGGCTAGGGAGTTCGAACGACCATGTGGGACATCAAGTCTGGGAATTCTGCCCTGAATCAGGAACCCCAGAAAAGCTTTCTAAGGTGGCAAAGGCTCGTCAGAGTTTTTCCACTGATCGTCTCCTGAAAAAGCACAGTTCTGACCTTCTCATGAGAATTCAGGTGAGTCTGCCTCTGCCTTCTTTTAATTCATCCAGGTGTTCAAAACTAAACAGGGGGTTTGTGTATTTTTGTTAAATAGTTGTTCAAGTAATCCCCTTCCCTTCTTTTCAATGTACAGTTCGTGACTTTCGAAAAGAATTGGCTTTCTGCTGATGATTTTTCTTAGTCTTTCAGTTGCACAAAAATTTAAACTTTTACTTCTATGCTTGACTTCAGGGCATGACAATAGAAATGGAAGCTTAATCTGTTATCTTCTACTGTGGTCAACTGCATATCCATATTACGGGGAAACACTTAATAAGTAGAGAAAGCTTGTTGTTTCAGACATTTCTTCGAATCCGTTGATCATTTTGGCCATTTTGTATTGCATTTTGAAGGTCACTGAACTTTTTCTTTCTGGGTGTAGTATGCGAAGGAGAATCAATTTGTCACTAATTTAACACAAGTCAAATTGAAAGAGTTTGAAGATGTGAAGGCAGAGGCTATATTGACAACATTACGCAGGGCCCTTAATTTTTATTCAACCATACAAGCAGATGACGGTCATTGGCCTGGTGATTGTGGGGGTCCTATGTTTCTGCTTCCCGGTTTGGTAAGGCTTAAACTGTAAGCCGTGTATGTTTTTGTTGAGATTCCACCTCATGCTCAAATTAAAAAATATTCAAGAAATTAAAATATAGCAATATAAAAAAATAAATTAGTATTTAATCAGAAAAGTAATCGAATTCTACAGGATTAATGTTTGCATTTTCATATAACTTTCAAATTAATTATGAACACTTATAAGTTAGTTACATACCTTACTCTAGATATCTAATCAAGAGCAAATTAAATTTAAAATTTTTGCTTCTTTATTTTTAAAATTTGTCAAATTTTCAGCCACCAAAGTGTTGGGCTTCTAACAGTAATCTACACAGTGACTGAATAAGACCTTTTTCAAGATATGATTTTTACTTGTTCTAGTGAGTTTTGTTTCTAAAACAAAAAGATCAAAAGTTTTTACTGAATCTTATTTCTATCAGACAAAGAAAATTATTTTTCTTTCATTGTTTTATGAAACGGTTGAGAAGTTGTTAGAGGCTTAGAGTTTTAGTTTGCGAACATAACATATTTATATAGTCAAATTAAGTTGTAACCCTAAAACATAACAATTGTATTTTCATTTAATTAAGTCTCTAAGAACTTAATTAATTTTTCACTTTATTTTGGTCTCTTTCAATTAAGTCTAAGTTAATTAAATATTCTTATTTAATCCCAATCATGTCACTTAATGTGTGTGACTCATTAGGCTTCTAACATGTTGGCAATAAGTATAAATCCTAATCAAATATTAATTTGATAATTAATTTATATTTGTAGATCATGATTGCAATCTAGTGATACATCATGACCACCCAAATTTTTCTATCTAACCTTAGTTTTAACACTTTGAAGTAACTAATTACATTTTATAATTAAGGAACCTCGAGTTACATTCAAAGGGAGTTAGGTGAGAAAAGAATTTATAACCTAGAGAAAATAGAGATAAGACAGGTTGCGCAGACCCCATTTTAAAATAAATACCATGAGAAAT